ACCAAGTACTCTATCTCTACTGAAAAAAAAAAAAAAAAAAAATTCTTTCGAGGGTTTACTTTGCATCAATAATATTCTCTTGAACCTGCAATGGAAATTCAATTGGACTTTTTTGTTTTTGCATTGCATGAGAGGAAGGAAACAGAGAATTGTTCGAATAAAACACTCTGTATCTGTATAAAAGAATTGGTCTTTCAAACTTAGAGGAAGTTTAAAACGCATTGAAATGAAGATGATCAAATTAACTACCCGCAGTTATAACGGGTATCCATATGGATTATAATGACTATTTTTTCTTTTAGAAACTTTATTTTGTAATCAAATGAATTATAATTAAAGATTTGTTTCGATATAGCAGAAAAATATCGTTCATAAACTATTATTTCAATTATTGTTGAGTACTTAAATGATTCAAATAGGGAAATGCATGCTAAAATGTACCTATAACGGTGTTTAATTGTCAGAAAAACAAAAATTATGACAAATTTTTCTTTTGTAATTTTCAAGTTGTTAAAAAAAACATGTAGACGGGTGAAAAAATAGGTAAATGAATAACAAAAGGATAAACGGGTTTAAAAACGGGTAAATGGGTAAACGGTTATGGTTAACCGTTTATAAACGGTTATGTGTACGGATATAACCGTTTATGTGATTACATAATGGGTAAACGACTATATGTGTATGAATATAAACGGTTATGGGTAAATAACCGTGGTTACCCGCCCATCATAACTATTGCCCATCCCTAGTTATGGGCTGTTTTGTAAGGTTTAATTTAGGATCCAGTTGGTATTTTGTTGCATGTGCTTTGCACGAGTTTGGGCACTTCCTTTATATTGTAACGGTCACTCACATATTTTAATGTATTATGAAATTTAGCCAATCCTTTTTTAGACATTTCTCCTCCTTCACCATTGTTACACAGTTATGGTCGAATCGGATTGGAAGGGTTTGATTGCTATTCTTTTATAAAGAGAGGTGGAGCGGCTAGGTTTGAGTATGCAAGAGAAGAAAGCAGGGTGGCGCTGGGCTCGAGGTGGGAGAGAGATTTTTGGAAGCTTTATTGGATTTGGATCTTCTCCGAGACAATTGGTCGGGATCCTCTGACCGGTGTATGTGGGCCGTTAGATTTATTCGCCGGCACTAATTATTCCTCTCCAAATAAGATGTCATTTATTCACCGGACTTCCTCAGGACAGGAGGGAAGATGGTATGTATTCTTCTTTTCCTATGAAGCATGGATACGGATACGGATACGGCGATACGATACGACACGACACGGCGATACGGAAAATCTCTAAAAATTAAGTTACGATACGCTATGGATACGGCAAATAAAAATGTATATAGCAACAAAAATATACATTTTAAAACATAATTCATCATTCAAATTCAAGTACATTTGAGTTGTTAGATAAGGAAAGTTCGAAATCTAATCCTCTTTATACAGTAGAAGAAGTGTGAGAGTCGTATTCATGGTTTTAATTAGAGGGAAGCTCTTTGTATTTAGCAAATTTCAATTATAGATGTCTCCTATTAATTTTCTCTTCCTCATTACATTTTTTTGAAAGTGTAAATGTATCTTAAAAGTAGGATACGTGTATCCTAAATGTAGGATACACATATCCATCATGTCAAATTCGTGTCCATCAACCAGGATACGTGTCAGACGAGTATCCGAGAGTATCAGGCAAGTATCGTATCTGATCAAGTATCGGATACGGGATACGGGACCAAACAGAAGTATCCGTGCATCATAGTTCTTTTCCAAATAAAAAGCATTTATTCTTTTTTTTTTGCTCAAGCCATTGATTCTTCTTCTTCTTTCAAATTAAAATGGCATTTTGCAACTCTTAGATAGCATATTCCATTTCAAAAGAAGAAAAAAGAAGGAAAAAAAAAATCGACAACCCCATAAAAGTGGAGAGAGGTCGTCTCACGTTCCATACTATGCTCGCTCTCCCTTCTTCTCGTCTTGTTCCTTCTCACCACTTTCCCAAAACCCATATCCAGAAAACTCACACACGCAACCCCACTAAATCCGGATCTACCTCACTAACAATGGCCTCCCTTTCATCAAATGCTCACCCGCTCGATAGGTATTTCTTTTATTTTCTTGCTTTTTTTTAAAAAATTATTTTTGATTCTGCAAAGCATAATTTTCTGCTGATGTTGTTATTTTTTTCATAAATGTGGTAACTTTTGTATGAATCAGTGTTTGTTAGAGTTTTCGTCGTATTGCATGGAAGTATAATTGTTGAGCAAAAATTATATCTTTAGAAGAGCATTGCTGTCCTTGTTCATTAGCTATGAACATTTTATGTCATGAAAATAATTTGAGTGATTTAGTTTGAATTCCGGTTTTACAGGAATCGGCTTGATTGAGAATAGCATTGTTCTTATGAATTCCAATCTTGATTCTGAACAAGCAAACAAACAAAAATTGTCAATTTGTTTCTTTTTTAATTTTGTTTGGGATGGTTGGCAAATTGCTTAGCTGAACAGGTTGCATCAGCCTTTTCGCTGGCGATTCACTAGACCTTTAATGTAAAGCTGTATGTGTTTGAACTCTTATTAACATTTGGAAACCCGCATACTAAGCGGAAATCCGCTCCTTGTCAACTTCAGGAAAAGTTCTGTTCTGTCTAACTAAAACCTTTCTTTTCCCCTTGCTTGTGGTTTGGGTTGGGGATTGGCGTCTTTCTAAGCGTTTAAAAGGTTTTCTGTCTCCGGTGGTTGATATAATAAGTGAAATTATTTAGGAAGTGAAATTATTTAGGACTTCAAAATGGTAGGCATGGGGATCAATGGTTGATATAATGGACAGTTGAAAAAGTTCGATCCTTATCCTACCTTAACAAATATGTATATTCTTATTCGCTCAAAGGGTTCGACCCCTTCAGACATTGATCCTGGGACTAAGGGGATTTTGATTGCAAATCTATTTGCCGTGTGTGCACAGTGATACGTTTGAAAAGTTATTTGTCTTCTGTTGTTATCAGCTTTACTTTGCCAACTTAGTATACCTTAAACTCAAAAAAAGGCTAAGCGGGACAAAAGGCCGAAGCTCATAATCTTTCTTAGCACTGCGATAATTTTCTGCATCCTATAATATTCGTAGTTTTATTAAGAGATCTTTGTGTATGCATTTTGTGAAATGTTAAGACTCACCACAATTGGCAAGAAAGCTATAGTATCTTATCTAGCATTTAAAGATTTTTAACTGTGATATATGTTAACCTAAAGTAATGTTTACTTTTAGAACAAACTGTTGTGCTTCATTGGGCCGAACCACTAGACATAGCAACTTAGTTTCATCACCTTCATATACTTTCAACTTTTGTGACTGATTGCTTGCTTTAATCACCTTCTATTTTGTGATGACAGAAAATCTTCTCTAGCTTGTGTCGCACCTCTAGAAGCAATTCTATTTGATATTGATGGAACATTGTGTGATTCAGATCCCTTCCATTATTATGCTTTCCGTGAAATGCTTCAAGAAGTAGGCTTCTCTCTCTCATTCTCTCTCTCACATATGCACAAACACGGCATTTTTCTCCGAATCACACACTCTCTCTCACACATATGCACAAACACTGCACTTTTCTCCAACTCACTCTTTGGTGTACCACAGGTAGGTTTTAATGGTGGGGTTCCTATCACTGAGGAATTCTTCAGTGAGAAGATAGCTGGAGTTCATAATGAGTATCTTTGTAGTATCCTCTTTCCTGATTGGGATATCGAAAGAGCAAGACAGTTTTTGGTAGATAAGGAAGCCATGTTCCGAAGGTAACTTCAAAAATCTGTCAAGAAACTGCATGCTTGATATTAAATACATTTCGGGTATATGACACATTGGTATTATTTGTTAGACTTCTGTGGATGGAAGGAAACTATCTTAAACTGTATCAACTACAATCTTCGTTGACTAATAGGGAATTCTATTTCTGTATCAAGTTGTGGAATTATTTCTTTCAATTATAAAAGACCCTATCTCTTGTCTCAACTTGATTTACTGAGTGTGATGTTGCAGATTTATATCTGAAAAGATAGAACCTCTTAAGGGCCTCCCTAGGTTGCGCCAATGGATTGAAAAACCAGGCTTCAGAAGGGCTGCAGTAACAAATGCTACAAAACTAAATGCCGAGCTAATATTATCAAAGTTGAAGCTCACGGATTTCTTTGAAATTGTTGTTCTTGGAGAGGAATGCATACGAGCAAAACCATTTCCTGATCCTTACTTGACGGCTCTTGAAAAGCTTAACCTGTCAAACGAGCATGCTTTCATCTTTGAGGTTTGTCTCTCAGAACTTTGTGCTGTGCAATTAACAATAGCATTCGATCTTCAGTAAAATTTTGACATACATTGCGCTCATCTCTGCTCAACTTTTGGTTGTCAAGGATTCTGTTTTTGGGAGTGAAGGCTGGAGTAGCAGCCGGAATGCCAGTAGTGGGTTTAGGCACAAGGAACCCCGAGGAAGCATTGATTAATGCGGGAGCCTCCTTTGTTATTAAAGATTTTGATGACCCAAAATTGTGGGAAGCACTGGAAGAGATTGTGAAGAAGGTGGAGTAACAACGCTTACAACTTGAAATGCAATGACAAGGAACAAGGATAAAGTAGCAAAAGGTGTAAGCTTCTAAATTTCTAAACAAATAACCATGCTGTACTTGTGTAGTATAGTGTTCTGGCACCGGGACATCCTACTGAAATATGGTGATCCTGCTCAATCTTAACTTCAAATCATGTTTTTGTTGTACGTTTGAAAGCTCAGTCAATAAAACCCGACCCCCCTATGATATTCGTATCGTTTTTAGTTTTATTTAAGAGATATATATTTCTTTTTTAGAGTTGATTTATAAAAACTTAGTGCCCTTTTAATGCCTATTTCGCTATTAGTATTTTTTTTTTGTTGGAGATGGAGGGAAAATACAAGAAAGAATTGTATGAAGTATGGGAAGGAAGGGTGGTGAGGGATGTGGAAGAAATGGATTTGCACGACCAGACAAGAAAAAAAAGGGAAATGCATATGAATATGCCCACTTTACATCACATTACCTCGCCAGATTTAGCCACATCTAAAAAGAAAGTTTAGCGACGGAAACGAAGCTGGGTGACAGATTTTGAGAACATTGTTGTGATTAACCGAAGAGAACGGATAAACACATATCTTTTTTAGCTTCTTATTCATTCTTGTGTTATCAAGTTTGTCTTTTCCATTAGATTTATCGGGGCTCGGAGAGATAATAAACTAGCGTCAAATTCCATAACTTAACGAATTATGCTAACTCAAGGGTTTGATTCCCTCCGACCATCACAGGGTGGCACAGTAGTCGGGAAACGAATTACAAATTTGTCTTTCACACAATACGTCTTTGGTTTGATTCTTGGCACTAGTGAATCATATGATGGTGGCTAGTGATAGGTTAAAATGCCTTTGTGAGTTTTTCCAGCCCCTGGTAGGATAGATTGTCGTGGCAAAATCACCAACTAGTAGGAGTGACATAACGTTTTAATTATTAGTCCAATTATGAAACATCGAATTACTGGGCATGTAAGTGTTTTATTTTTATGCACAAACGAAAGTGAATTTTAACAAAGTACCAAATATCAACGTCGCACGAAAGCTAAAACAAACAATCTTAAAATCTGAACACGAGATTTAACGTGGTTTGGTGCAAAGCCTATGCCCAGGGCGAAGCATGGTGAAGAATTTCACTAAACAAACAGAGGTTACAAAAGAGTGTTTAACTCTCACAACCCAAATCTCACAAATTAACAAACTCATAAACCAAACGAGTAGAGAACTCAAACAAACGAAGAAGATTCTCCCAAATTGTTCTCTAACTCAAATTAATTCTCAACAAATTGCTAAACGAATGAGCCATGAATTTTTCCACTCATGATTCCAAACGGTGACCTTCATCCAAAACTGAATTAGAGAAAACTCTCTAAACTAATGGTAAGGCACACAAAATACGCTAACCCTGAGGTTCTATTTATAGTGCATAAGAGTTAGGTTACAATAAGAATACTAATCCTAATTGGAAGTAAATCTAAATCCTAATCACATAAGGTAATTAACACAATCTCCCCACCAAGTAAAGAATCCAACCAAAACGTCAAATCCAAACCCAATTAGGACACAAAAAAGAAACAGACGACACAAACCTAATTTTTGCATTCATCTTAACTTTGAGCCGTAACCCAACAGTAAGTGGTAGTTGTCACGAAACAATAAACTTGAAGTAGACACGTGATACCGAAGTTCACGAAGAACAAAGGTAAGCCACAAAGATTCGGCACAAGCAAAAGTCGGCAATTGAGCGGGGGGGTTGTTTGGTGGAGCTCCAAGAGACATGATTTGGCCGATGAAATAGCAAGAAATCCGACACTCAGCCCAATCAGCATTAGAATACCTAAAAATGCAAAGGAACCGTAAAATATTTTAAACAGCAATAGGATGCGTTTGGGAAGGCCGAGACATGAACTCTGAAATGATGATGAATGGTTTGAGACCAACCTCGATGCTGGGTGTTGGTCGCGGAACCAATCTCGTAGGTTCTAGGGAGATTATGTTCAAGTGGACTTCAACATGCAAAAGGTGTGGGAAAGGAAATTAAATTGGTGGCTGAGATACAAACACAAGAATACGAGAGTTTAACTAAAAAACAGATAAACCAAACCTTGAAAATCTCTGAAATATCCTTCCAATTTTGAATCACAGTCGGAATCATTAAAACCTTGCAATGTTGGCAGAAGGTTGAGGGGAAGGGGCTACTGAAAATATGGAGCACAAGTTTTTGATTGGAATCGGAGTTGAAGAACAAGTCAGGGAGGAAAATGGTAAGAACGATTGGGCTTAAGATTAAATAAAATGTAATGGTTGGGCTTTTTTATGTTCATGGGTGAGGATGAGCAAAATACAGTTATGGGTTTAAGTAACCGAGATTACCCGCTTATAGGTAAAATTCACAAATTTCGATTATGAATAACTGTTTACCCGCATTTATAACGAGTATTCCATCGGTCCTGATTCACCAAGGTACTCTCTATTTCTACTGAAAAAAAAAAAAAAAAAAAATTCTTTCGAGGGTTACTTTGCATCAATAATATTCTCTTGAACCTGCAACGGAAATTAAATTGGACGTTTTTGGTTTTGTATTGCATGAGAGGAAGGAAACAGAGAATTGTTCAAATAAAACACTTTGTATCTGTATCGGTATAAAACAGAGAATTGTTTTAAAATGCATTGAAAAGAAGATGATCAAATTGAACTACCCGTGGTTATAATGGGTATCCATATGGATTATAATGACTAATTTTTGTTTTTAGAAAGCTTTACTTTGTAATCATATGGATTATAATTAAAGACTTGCTTGGGTGTAGCAGAAAAATATCGTTCGTAAACTATTATTTCAATTATTGGAATTGTTTGAGTATTTAAATGATTAAAATAGGGAAATACAAACTAAAATGTACCTATAATAGTGTTTAATTGTCAGAAAATGAAAATTATGACAAGTTTTTCTTTTGTAATTTTCAAGTTGTTAAAAAAAAAACATGTAGACGGGTGAAAAAATAGGTAAATGGGTAAAAAAAAAAGGATAAACATGTTCAAAAACGGGTAAAATTATGGTTAAATGGGTAAACGGTTATGGTTAAATGGGCAAACGGCTATGGGTATAGTTAACCGTTTATAAACGGTTGTGGGTATAGATATAACTGTTTATACAATTACCCAACGGGTAAACGGTTATGCGGGTATGAATATAAACGATTATGAGTAAATAACCGCGGTTACCCGTCCACTATAACAGTTGCCTATCTCTAGTTATGGGCTGTTTTGTAAGGTTTAATTTAGGATCCAGTTGGTATTTTGTTGCACGTGCTTTGCACTAGTTTGGGCACTTCCTTTATGTTGTAACGGTCACTCACATATTTTAATGTATTATGAAATTTAGCCAATCCTTTTTTAGATATTTCTCCTCCTTCACCATTGTTGCAGAGTTATGGTCGAATCGGATTGGAAGGGTTTGATAGCTATTCTTTTATAAAGAGAGGTGGAGCGGCTAGGTTTGAGTATGCAAGAGATGAAAAATGGATAGCCGCTGGGCTCAAGGTGGAGAGATATTTTTAAAAGCTCTATCAACCCAAACCCCTCCTTGAAATCACTTTGTCTACCCCAAATCCCTCCTTGATATTCTGCTAGCCCACCCTCTCAACCCAACCGATTGAGACGGACAAACCACCCCAACCTCCTAAGGAGAAATGACCAAAAATGCCCACATTTGGTGGCCGTTGGATCTGGAATCAAGCGGCTAAAGGGTCATTTCACTACCGCACCCGGCCCAACATGCAACCCAACTGTGAAGAAAGGACCAATCCGGAAATGGATGATGACAAAAGGGTTGAATAAGTTCATATTGAAGTCTCATTTCATCGTAAAGATGAATAGTGCAATTTTTTTCCTACTTTAAATTAAAGTAATAATACTTTTATAAATTGAGCATGCTATCCACACACCTCTTTTTACTTCTCCCACATCATTTGTTATTTTCTATCTTTGATATTCTTCAATTCATCATATCCGACGGCTGAAAAATAAAAAAGTGTGAGAGAAGTAAAAAGGAGCGTGTGGATATCACATCCCTTATAAATATAGTTTCTCCAATATATTAACCACAACGCATATTATGTTTAAGAAATAATTAAGTTATTTGTTATTGTTGTTATTATATTAATTTATGAAACACAATATATATAAACAAGCAAAGTAAAGTTGGGATGTGTTTGTGTCATACTTGACTAATCCCGAAACTAATGAGCACCGGTCAACGTTATACCATTAAGGACCCAGAAGAGTTTCCCTACAACCAGGAGGCCAATCATAGCACGATACGTGTCGACACCAGAAGCTAATCATAGCGCGACACGTGTCAACATCAGAAGCCAATCACAACACGACACGTGTCAATGTCAGAATGAAACTAGAATCTCTCTTCTATAAATAGAGATCATTCTCTCACAATATTTCCTAATGTCATTTGTACTAAATCATTCACTAGTACTCACTAAAGGTCACAATTAATGAGAACTCCTCTACTCCGTAGACGTAGCCAATCTGGGTGAACCATGTACATCTTGTGTTTGCTTCCATGTCCCTATTCATTTACATACTTATCCACACTAGTGACCGGAGCAATCTAGCGAAGGTCACAAACTTAACATTTTCTGTTGTACCAAAGTCCCCACTGATTTTGTGCATCAACATTTGACGCCGTCTGTGGGAATCGAACCCACGACCACGTGGTTAAAAATCGAAAAGGCACCACTCTCCGAATTTTGATAGCCAGACTCCCAACA